TCTTAAAATCATGTACCCTTTCCATTTTTCCTAACCTTGATCACTTTGGCACCAGTTTCCGCGGTGACAAGGGCAGGGTCCAAAGTTCCCTTTTGGAACGTGTAGGGCTTGACACTATTTTGTTACCAACTCTTAACTTGATCTTTATTAGCGGGGATTGATTAGAACAATGTCATATCGGAGATTGACAATGAAAATGATGAGAAAAATGGTCATCATAACAGCCTCAATGGCGGAGATTGTCATTTTTCCGGCCATTATATATTTTGTTTTGGGCTATGGTGAGTACTCTCTATTTTTCTTTTTTAATATGAATCTCTAAAATGAATGGAGGATCTATACATACATATGAGAAAATGAGTGTTCATAGACCATTTAGGTACTTTTTCGGTAGCAACAACTACGTTTTAATATAAAATGCCCTCCATGAAGGCATAAACAACAAAATTGCCATTCCTCCAAGCCTAAAAGAGTAATGGGCCATGCATGGTTCTAATAATGATGTTGCATAAGTTAATGTTCGAGTGTGGGGTTAGTCTTTGAGGCTTGGGTTACTAGATTCTAGTTCGTTTTGGCCGAACGCCCTTCATGTATTCTTCTCCTTTTTATACAATTTGGTTTATCTTTCGAAAATAATAATAATAATAAAAACTCTAAATTAATTAAAACAATGGGTTTACCAGAGATTAATGGCTCAAGGATTACTGAATTGAGCTTAAAGTACAACTCGATCACTACAAATAATACTTCCAAGTGTGTGTATGTTGGAATGTCAAACTCGACTTGATTAAAAAAAATTATTTATTGAATTAGATATTTAGATACATGAATCTAGAGATCTCTATTCTTAAATTTAGAAAGAGACTAGTGGAAGATTCTAGAATGGTAAAATCTAGATTAATAAAAAAAATAAATGTATAAAAAATTATGTAAATTAAAGTCATAATATAAAAGATATTTTAGATGAATCTTCTAAAGAAATGACCTTAGTCATAGATTGAAATGAATCCTAGTCCTTCAATGTCAAGAAGATGCCTATATAAAGGGGCCGAGTCATAGATGCCAATATGAAGGGTCCGAGTCATAGATTGAAGTAGGTTAATGAAGAAGTAAAAAGAAATGAGTAAACATAGAAAAGGACCCCAATACGAAAATACAATGGGGTTTGAGTCGACACTCATGTAGCAATACAAATAACCATTTTGCTTGCCTAGCACGAAGGATTAAGTGATGCATTATTCAACTAAAAATAAAAAAATAAGTGATGCAACTCACGTGACAACGAGAGTGCTCAGCGAAAAGACATGCGAATAAAAGTGTTGAAATTGATCGACACGTCTCACGTGGCGGCAGATCCGTACATACAGTTGCCAAAATCAACTGTTGTTCAACGACTAATATATAAGAATATCTAAAATATAGTAGTGTTTTTTTTTTTTCTAAAGATTAAACAACTGATATATATGAGAAGAAAATTTTGCTTCTGAAAAAAATATATATATATAGATGAGAAGAAAATATATTTTGGGCCTTAGGCCATTACATGCCCAAGAAGAGGGACAACAAGAGGGAGCAAGAGAGAAGCCCAATCTAGAAGAGAAACTCATAACCGCAATTAACAGCTTAATTGGCCGTTAATGGTGGGTATTAGTGAATACATCCGGTTTTGAGCCCTAACCAATTGAAGTCCGACACTTCAATGATCATCAATCCGGTGGTCTTGGTGAATCAAGTGTATCTATTCTTATCAGTTTAATAATTTTTTTTTTTTAATAAACCAAAAGTATTTCATTTTCATGCAAAATACATCAAATCATATCTTATGTCTAGTAAAGTATGATGTAAGAGTGTATATAAATAAGGGAAAATTATATATAAATGGAGTCAAAGTTTCATATTTATTTAGAGGCTGAGTCAAAGTTCCATATTTCTCTAAAATGGATTGCTGAGGTGGCACATGGTTTTTTACTGTTTAGAAATTGTGGTGCCTAAAATACCCTTCCGCGGAGGTACTACTTTTTCTTCGAAGATACTACTTTTTTGAACTGAAGGTACTACTTTTTGGCGTCCAGGTACCATGTTTTTTAAACACCCGTGAAGGTACTACTTTTTCTCCGAAGGTACTACTTTTTTGAACGGAAGGTATTACTTTTTTGTTAGGAAATGGCATTTTAGGCACCACAATTTTCTAAACAGTAAAAAATCATGTGTCACCTCAGCAATCCAATTTAGAGAAATATGAAATTTTGACTCAGTCTCTAAGTAAATATGGAACTTTGACTCCATTTATATATAATTTTCCCTATAAATAACGCCAAAAAAAATTTGTTCGTAAAAAAGATAATACAAAAATTGAATGAATCTTTTCATGTAGTATATATTAAAGTTGATACAAAATTTTTTACTGTATAATTCTCATACTATCCTTTTTTAAACATTAAGTGTGTGTATTGATATTGTGCTTGAATACATATGATCGATTATAAAGAGCATGAAAAATGGAGTGTACCTCATTGAAACTTTTTGATACAACAAAAAATTCTACAGTGAAACATTGGCCAAAAGAGTTCATACTTCCTTTTTCCAACTTGGAGGAACTGTGCATACCTTCTCTGTACGCCAAATGCGCATTTGAGGGTTCATTCGAAGATTGTACTTTCTGCATCGCTTAAACACTTGTCGGAGGTCGTTGACATGGCTGATTGGCTGTTTAGACTTGACAACCAAATCATCGACGTAGTCTTCTAGATTATGATACAGCATGTCATGGAAGATGGCGGTCATCGGTCTTTGGTAGGTGGCTGTTGCATTTTTCTAGTCGAAAGGCATCACAGTGTAATGGAAATTACCAAGAGGGCTGCGAAATGCCATCTTTTCTGCGTCAGTGTCAGCCATGCGTATCTGATTGTAGCCACTGTAGCCGTTCATAAAGGAAAACATCTTGTGACTGGCCTTGCCATCGACCAATGTGTCAATGATAGGCAAGGGGAAGTCATCTTTGGAGCATGCCTTGTTGAGGTCGCAAAAATCGATACACATTCTTATTTGGCCATTCTTTTTCTTGACTGGGACAATGTTGGCCAACCAAGTAAAAGTTGATCTTGTGTTCTATGTTTTGATGATTGTGTAAAAATGTTGATGAACTCAAAATGCTGCTCTCTAGTACTGTGTATATGAGCTTCTAATTTCCCTATTCGTTCGTTCTTTTATTTTTCTAGATTAGCTGCTCAAAATGTTCCTTCCTCAGTATTGGAAGAAACATTTCAAGAAGAGATAATTAGAGAATTTACTCTTTAAAAGAAACGACTGCTTCGTTGAAGTCATGAAGGTCAAATTTTCGTCTTTGCATCCCCTTGGTGTTAAAATTATGAGCCTGAGGGTTGGAAATGCAATTGTGCTCCTTCCTTTTGTAGACCGTAAGCAACATTACCATTTTACAGAGCGTTCACATTACAGATTAAGAATGTTGCTCTCATTTATTTCCCTTCAATCTATGTTGGACACTACTTTGAGAAATTAACAAAAACCCATTGTTCCATCAGTAATAAGTTTTATGTTCAACATGTTTGTTTTGATGACAAATGTTGCTTTCTGTCACTAATTTTTACTTTTGGTGAGTACGTACTTGTGTTTCTTTTTTTTTTTTTTTTTCTCTCCTTTTCCTTCCATTTGACACACATGTTCAATAGGGACTTCCTAACTTGATAACTCAAACTACTTGACTTATTCTTGAAGTAGATATGAACAATTTAACGTGACAGGTTGAGTCTGAAAATTTTATAACCAAACAAAAATCTCCATCTAACTTGAGTATATAGTTTGATCTTTTTCTTCCTTTTTTATTATTTTTGTTTGTTAATTTGTTATATATATATATATATATATATATATATATATATATATATATCGTTTTCGGTAACACTATATATATATTAATATATACTCCCTTGGTCTCGAATTAAATGTCTTGCATTTTTCAATAGATAGATCAGCATATTTTAGCTTTCGCTTTCTAAAAACATTAATATTTTAATATTTTTAAAATTTTTAATAAATTTTATTTTTTAACTTTTTGGCTATATCATAAAAAAAAATTTAAACAATACAATACGAATTTAAAAATAAATATATATATAATTATTTTTTAAAAAAATTTATGTTTTTTTTGCCAATATAACTGTTAAGACACTTTTTGGGTCAACCAAACACTATAATGTTAATATGAATATTTTAAAAACATAAAGTTTTTTTTAAAAAAAAGCACTTTTCTCTTCTTTTTTTTTTTTTTGGCATTTTTTTGTCCAAAAATGCCTTTAAGGCACTGCTTTTTAAGGCATTGTTTTTTAGACCAAAAGAAAAAAAAAAAAAAAAGACCAAAAGAAACCAAAAATATGTTTTTTTAGCTTTTTTTCAGGCAAGAATGTCCTTAGGAACAATATTATGAACTAAAACACTGTTCTAGACTAGAATTAAAACAAAACATATGTGAGCCCGCATGACTGGCCCACTGCTCGCTAAAAGGGTCGCATGGCTGGACTGGAGCTGCTCTTAATGAATGACAAATTAGTAGGTAAAAACCCTCCCCGTTCATAAAGGGAGTGTGGGACCCCCACAAGTTGGGTGAGACAGAGAAGCTAGTACAGAGACTACCATCATCACCAAATACTTTTACCATTTCATTCCTCAGATGTGGATTCTTAAAGTCCCATTAATTTTGCATTTCTTATTCATGACCACCTTAATTAATTCAATGTTGAAACATGAACATATTAAACAGATGTGCAAAATTTCACTTCTTAAGGTATCAAAACATATCTCAAGGATTTTATGTATGAATTATGAATCACTTAAGAAGGTGGAATTACAAAACTTTCAAATAAGTTGCAAAAAATTATCCACTTACTAACATTTTTGCCATCTAAGACCAGCATATATTGTTCTGAGTCGTCCATTAGAGCTATATATATATGCTGATTCAATCAGTGTCACAAATATTACATTCATTTTCTGTCCTTTCGAATTTCAGCTTCAATCTTCTTCCTAACTTTCTGTACTCCCACCTCTATTGCTGCTGACCTCCAAGGACCAAGAGGTTGCAGCAATTCTAGCATTATCGTGTCGATGCAGTGTCTCACTTCATCCTAAAACCACATTAACCAAGAAAAAAGGGAAATAAGTACAAATAATTTTCTCACAACCCAAAAATGATAAGCATTAGCATAAATACATAAATAAATTTTAAATTTAAAAAAAAAATGAAATGATAAATATTTTCTATTACATATTGATTAATTACCTTGTCAACAAATGGAGAATTTGCAACAGCCTCCTTGAACTCCTCATACCTTGCTGGAAACATCTCCTTGGAAGCAACCACAAGAGCTGCTGCTGCAACCACTGATGCCAAGTACTCCGAAACCCTAATTTCTGTTAAATTATACATTTAGAGAAACGAATTAATTAAGCTAATTGTATGAACATTCACAACTCAGTGAATATCAAGACAAAAGTACTACTAATTAATTTAATTACCCCTTTGGGAAATCATTATGATCCGAATGGCTGCAACTTTGAGATCAAGATTCATTTGTGCATTATTCAAGTTGAAGTTCAGAACAAAGAATTCCAGGAAGCATAACGCTGTTATTGGTCGCGTTTTCCCTTCTAACACACCCATAATTTGATCTTCTACATTCTTCACAATTTTGTTCTTGGACTGTTTAATCATCAAATGAAATTCTTTCAAAAAAAAATTGCATAATGTAGCTCACACACACACACACAAACACACACACACACACAAACACACACACAGACACACACACACAAACACACACATAGAGAAAGAATGAGAGTTATTACTGGAAGTGCATTTGTGGAAGAGCAAGAGCTTGTCATCTTGACAGCAAGTTTGAAGCAGCTTCTAGCAGATAGGTCTATGTCAAGACCTTTCAACTGCAAAGTCAAGATTAATGTGTCAAATATGTACATGAACTTGATTAGTGTTCTTGTCACCGAATTAATTAAGTTTAATACAACTTAAACATTAAATTAAGCCAAATATCAAATACGAGTATCTAAATTGATGAAGAAAAGAAACAGAACTAAAAAAATAAATTCTGATCATGAAGTTTACGTTCAATGGCGGTTGCCTTGAAATGTATCGATCAAAGTGATTCATCGCGATGAAGGACACGAACGGATCATCAATTTTACGCGAATTCTGTAAACAATTGAATACAACAAAGATTGGAAATTTATAATTTTGACATGAAAAAACAGAGAATTTGATGACTGAAAAGGGAATTTTGATCTCTTACACTGATGATGTTATCGTATACTTGTTTTCTTTCTGTGGTGTTGAATCTTTTGGAGTAACCCTTAGCTGGCATGTAGTCTGGTTGATCTAGGAAGAGCGTTACATAGTCGTCGTAGTATTCTTCACTAGTTCCGAGTGGATTCATAGGATCAAACTCCATTTTCTTCTTCGATCTGCTTGAAGGGAAATTGATACTACTGTATGTTTGGGGAGAGAGAAAGTGAAAAGAAAACGAAGAGACTGCTCTGCATGGGCTCTGCTTTCAAGGGAACGATTTGGGTTCCAGAGTCTCTTAGGCGGTTGGATTCTGTTAGTTAGTACGGGTTATAATGAACAATGAAGCGAGGCCAAGGTAGGATCGAGTGCGATGGTGCCTATCATACGGCTAAATCGAAAGTCTTTTCTTGAATTCTCTGGTTCCCATGAATTCACAAGGAAAAAAAAAGAATTTGCAGATAAATTTGATAATATAAATTAGAAAATATATTCATCTGTTGTACAAGTATTTATAAATAAAAACTCTAACAACGTGAAAGAAACCCGCAAAGAAATGGCCCAAAAACAAACTTTCTCTAAAAATAAAGAATACATAATTACTAAAAACAGCTAAATACCAAAAAGAAAAGTAATTCAAACCCGTTTAGTCTTCTGACGAAAATTCCAAAATATTCAAAATTGGAAAAATACAATTCCCGACCCTAATTATTTGAATTCGGCCAAAGGGTGCCCCACCTCGGATTCGTTTTGGATAAAACCAGGGGCGGAGCCGGTGTATATTTCTTCTCTTTTTTACTCTTTAAATTTGTTTAATTTAAAAAAAAGTCAAATTTTCCTTTTTGAATCAAACTCCAATTTTTTTTTCCTTTCAAAATTCTCTCATTTTTCTTTCCTTTTTAAATTTTTTGTTAGCTATTTATCTTTCTTAAATAACTCATTGATTGACATATTATTTTGAGTAATTGTTCTTCTTTGTCTCTCGATTTATAGAATCTATATTTATTGTAGTGATTATTTATTTATTTATTTATTTTTACAGAATTTAATTTCTGACTCTCCCCTGTATAAAACTGAGTTCTTTCCGAGTCAAAAATAGATTAATCATCCGAAATAAACTGATCACGTTGGCTTTTTCATTTCATTTTCATGTTTTAAAAATTGGATTCCGCGAGTGTTGTGTGTTCAAGCCATGCCATGAAAAAAAAAAAAAAAAAACAAAAAACAAAAAGAAAATTTGAATTCCAATTTCTAAAAAATTTTGTGGATTTTAATCTACCATTTTATCTCCCGTTGTTTTGAAATTCTTGATCAATTTCAATGATGTTAAAAGTTTTGATTGTTTGGAAAATTAATAAATAAAAATTAATTGACTCCGACACTCATAAATAAAAAATGCAGTGTAGATAGTGTTTTTTTTTTTTTTTTTTTTTTTTTTTTTTTTGGGGTCAATAGTTCCTTTGAGAAAAGGGAATCCGAAGGTAATTCGTCCTTTGTTACCATGAAGTGTGTCAATATCATACAATTTTTTATTTTTTATTTTGCGCTTGGAATTAAAACCTCAAACATGCATTTGATTAGTTCAGATACTTCAATAATTATTTCATTCATGAGAAAAGCATATGACATTGATAGAACGCCAAAAGGCGCACAAGTTAAACAACCCGCAGCCCTTTCCATAACAAGTGTATCTCAATTTTCAACCCCCGCGGTTTCCATCTGACTGACATATTAAGATGGAATATCGTATCTTAGATCTTGGAATCTCTTAATCAAGCTCAGTTTATATTTCTCAACTTCTGTGTCCCCCGACGAATCTGGGGTAGATTGGATAACTGAGATTGCTCCGGCATGATGCAGAGCTCCCACAGCTTCATCTGTACCAACGGCGAGCAACAAACATCATAACCATCACACTAATGAAATAAGCTAGAGAATATAAATATATATAATTATATATATTAGCACCACATTTGGTGTTTGGCAGCACCAAATAGGCGCCTGTCTTGGATTTGAAATTGGAAAAAATTTAGCACAATTTTTGAATACTGACCAGAGGGCGACAAGGCAGCAAGAGCTTTCAAAGCTTCCCTCCGCGTGCGGTCATCCTTAGCAGCCCCCAGCATATTTAGAAGTTCTTGAGCCCCACCTATCTCCACTATCTTCATTCTTCTTTCATCTATCAATCAAAAGGAAAGCAAAACTACCCTGTCAGATGTAGAAAGTGTAGTCCACAAACTTCATCTCTGCATGGTGCCTATTAGTTTCTTTGGTGCTAGCAATTAGCAGCTTAAGACCGGTAACCTAGAGGCTCAAACATCAAAAGAAAAGAAAACTATATATTATATTACCCAGAAAGCTTTACTCAAAAATCCACCCATGTTTAGTGCCCATTAATTTCTTTGGCTGCGATTCAATAGCTTAAGATTTGTAACCTAGAGGTTCGACAATTTGAAACATTAACCAGTGGTGTGAAGATCAAATAGTATCTTGCTTATCGTATACTCCATCTCATAAATAAAATACATCCATCCCAGCAGTAAAAGGGCAAAGGCCTGGGAGAAACGAAAATCGTCATAGTTGCATTAAAGAACAATAAAATCTTGCAATGTTTTGTGGCTCAGTTAAACACAAAGTTAGCATTAATTTTTAAACATTATAGTTCAATAGACAGAACACGCAGTAACTAATTTACACACTCAATTCAGGTATGATCAAAGAGAGAATGGAGAATCTCATCTGAAACCAACCGATTGTGGTACTTTAGTCTTCAATTCACTAAATCGACACATTACAGACACATCATCCACGAGTGAATATAGATTGCAGTAGCATGTGCATGACTCTATTTTCTGAGGTTCTATCATAACACTCAATCTTACATAACCAAAAAATAATAATTTTAATAGGAAAGTCCAATTGGCTAACATAAGCATATAGACAAACATCTTTCATTTCCAAGTATTTTGCCACACACGCATTAGACTGACATCATTGCATTAGCAAGTGTTTTGACAAACATTAATGGAAGTAAAGAGCTTGTTCAGTTAAGTGTGATGAAAAATAGTTCTCAAGTTTGAAGAAGAATTATAGATTGAAGTTACCGTCTCTTGCAAAACGCGCTAATCTAGATGCTCCCATCCTTTTAAACAAGGGATCCTTGACTTGAAGAAGTGACACTGACTGTTGCAACAAATTGTCACCTGGAAATATCAATTATCCAAATCTCGTCAACCTCGAAGCTGTGCTTTCAAACAACACAAAGTAGTAGATTGATAGGCATACCCATGTATGGAAAGAACTGGTAAGCAACAACTGATGCAGTCCCAGCAAACAATAGTTTCAGTAGCCATCCTATTTTTCTTTCAGCCTCCTTTTCCATGGCAAGCTCATCTAGAAACCAGTAAGTTTTACATGAATAAATTGTCAGCAGCAGCAGCAAATAAAGACAATTATCTTCCCAGAAAAATGTCTAAAGAAAAAAGTACAAAATTGATTATCCTTTTTTCTTTTGGGAGGGGGGTGGGGTGGGGAAAACCATTAACACTTTGCCAAAATATTCAGTGGCCATGCCAAAATATTCAGTGGCTAGTTCATAACAATCTACGTTGAGCATTCTAACGTTAAAATTAACACCACATGCGAAGACATGCCAACTGAACATGTAGCTGCTGAACTAAATAGCAAAAAGGATGCTAGAGAATACAACAATTAAAAAATTAAGTCAAGTAATGCAACTGATGATAACATACACATGTCATGCTGGACCAAAACACTACCCACATTGAATCCAACGTAAATTAAAGAGCAGACTCGTCTTTACTTCGTGCTATCCAGGATTAAAAGAAAATAAGGACAAGATATCATTTATACCTGTAAGAGGAGTTCAAACACATTGTTCTTCTTAAGAAATTGAACTTGAGATTCAGCAAAAAAAAAAATTGAAATGAGAACAACAAAATAGACAACTCAAAACTAAAGAGAGAAACCCTTGCCGGGGGAAAAAAAATCTTGAGAAAATCTTGAGAAAGAGAAACATTTTTTTAGTCTATGTTAGTAGCAGTATGAAGCTGCAACTTGCTTGTCCTAAAAAATGAAATCCAAAGCTCAAGGAGAGGTTCAAAGACATTTATATATATTTGAGGTGACCCTAAAAACCTCAAGAAGAGGTTTGATAAAACAAAGGGACCTCAAACTGACAATTCAATTATTGGAACAAATTGTTCCCTACTAATACCTCAGTTCATGTGTTTAAGTTCCTGCATCTCCTCTTTGTTTTGACATGGAAATTGCTAGATGGCACTTAAAAGTGCTGAAGGTTGTACACCGAACCTTCTAAAAAAAAATCTCTCTCTCCCCCCTCTGAAACTTCCCTCCATTTCCCTATCGCCAACCGGACTGTCAGGTGTGAGAATGCAGATTGAGAGCAATCATTTTTTTGTGAAATTAGTGCCAATTGTCAGATTTATCCAATTTTACCCCTGATAGCACCCTTGATAAAAGGAAATCACATTAGATAATGACCTTATGCCACTTATAGTTAACAAAGATTTTCATTGTTGTGGAAATTCATACATTTCATTAACACACAAGTAAAACAACAAATTTCTGATATTTTATAATCCTTCTTCCCCTAAGAGGAAGGTGTAACCCAAAAATGGTTCAAAGTTCAAGCTCTAATGAAGACGCCCAAACATGAATTTCCAAGGGGTGATGACTAAAATTAGAGAAAAATAAACTAAATTAGCAATTAATAAGGGAAAATGGGTTGACCTCTTCCAGAGTATGATGAACAGAAATTGCGAGATCGCACATTCCCTGGTTTGCTTTTTAACAAATACTGCAATTAGAACACCATAAACACAACTAAGCAAAGATCAACCTCACTCAAATCATACAACGAATAACTTAAAAATAAAATGAAAAGAGGAACAAATCAAAGAAACATCTAAATCGAAGCAACTCGAATTATCACAACACACACATGAACCCCCAAATGTACACAGATAGATGTGTGTGTAGAAATTCGAAGAAAATTAGGGTTTAAAGAACTCGATTAAAGAACTATGACTGAGGAAATTGACGGCGGCGAAGGAGAGCTTACAGTACTGAGTTGCGCTGCTAACGTACGCATGGCGAGAATGGAGAGCTTTGAAATGATGCTATGCTGTTATCGATCGAATTCGACCAGAGACCTCATCGTACTCAGAGACAAATAACGGGCTGACGGGTATCCGGGTGGGGAGGCGAAGAGACAAATATGGGTAATAGGGTCCGGATTCTCTCCGCTAATGGGTGTACGGGCAAACGATAATATTTTAATAGAAAATAAGAGAGGAAGAAGACAAAAAAAAATAATAATGAAATTATCAAAGATTAATTTTAAAAAATTAAATATAATAGACAGGGCGAAGAGAGCCGGGCAAACAAAAGATAAATCACCTTGAATGGCCTCAAGAGACCAATGCAGGTCGCCACATTTATAGGACAATGCCCATTGACTAATTTTATGGGAAACACCATTACAGTGGCGAGGGATCTAACTTAAGGAACAGCAAAAATGCGAAGAGCAGATAAGCCGGATTTCATCCATGACCATAGCTGATATGTGGGAAGAAGGGGAATTGCGCATCACATTCAAACAATCACCCTCAACAATGCAAAAATCATATTCCCAAAAGGATAAAAAATGGAAGCTTTCTTTAACAACCAAAGCTTCTGCTACTTCCGGAGATGAAACCCCTGTAATGAAAAAGATGCCACACCTATCGGCCGACCTCCATCATCTCTGAGAATGAGACCACCCCCAACCTCTTTAGAGCTGCTACAAAAGGCCGTAGCAAAATTAAGTTTAATCTTTCCAGTAAGGGGGAGCACACCAACTTTGAGATCTAGAAATAGAAACCATTGATGGTTGAAGACGCCCATCAAATCATTCCTGCCCTTCCAAATTTGCCAACAAATAAAAACACTAGGCTGAAATGCTTGCCTGAATGAGGAAGAGACTTCCAGCTTGCAGACAATGAGTACCAAAGATGATTCCATGATTTTAAATTTGAATTAAAAAAATCCAATCTGAGAGGGCTAAGCTTCCAGACAATTTGGGAAGATGGGCACAGAAAGATGAGATGTGAACAGCTAATGAAATATTTGTCATTTATGTAAATGAACATTTAGACATTCTACGTGAACTGAAGTCTTTCCTCGGTATATACCGTCTAATTTTTTACTCATTATTTATAAAAGTGTTGATGGAATGGCCATATAATGTTTTTAATAAATTTTCAAAATCTTGAGATACTTCTGCATGCATACATTGAAGAATTCTAGTACAATTTGGCATATTGTACATTTCTTTAGAAACAAACAGACTTCTCTGCTCTCCCTCTTTGCTTTCCTAGGAGGGTTTAATATTAAGAATCTTACGCATGTAATAAATAAAAATCTTCTTTTAAATATATACTACAACATTGGACTTCGCCAAAATCCATTTTTTGTTAAAATATTTTTTGGAATCAATATCGATTATCCTTTAACACAACTTTGATTGCACATTTAATTTCACTGGTAAGAACGTCAGAAGATATATCTTAATATTCCTTTGTTTGGCCGGGGAAAAAAAATGCATTTGCATTTTTACAATAAATTTCTTTTAGATTTGTTAGTTGGAGATTTAGAGAGTAGTTCATGTCTTTAAGATGTAACATAGTTTTTTTATTTTATTAAAAGATTAGAATTTCATCCATTACTTTTTATCTGATGTATTTTGTGATAACAATCAAATTTATAAAATTGAGTGTCATTTTATCTTCCAACAAAAATTTCTAAATATATGTCAATAAAGAGTGTCATGACGTAAATTTTTTTACAAACATCAATAATGCAACAGCTTCAACCATCCATTCACGACTGCTTAACTACAAAACTTCGAAGACATAACATACTATTTACTGAAACCTAATACTATATCCAAGAAGATATCAACCAAAACTGCTTCAGAAATCAGTAATACATGAGCTAAAGACATGTTACTGTTATATAAATAAAACTCATGGCAACAAAATTTATCCATTCGTCTCTCACTTACATCAGGCAAAATTGCATTCAAGAAAACGGAAATTATACATCAATTAATTATCACGAACAACCGGTAAATCCTTAGCACCGGCAGGAACTCTACATTCAACCTGTACCTAGTTCATTGCTGTCCTGTAAAAGCAACCCCAAACTCTCCCACTCACTGAAAACTAGGCATAACGGATGCAAGCATTCCCTATTTCCTGTATAATCCATAACCCATTAGAATTGGTAAATCCATGCAACACAAGATGCAGTTACAAACATGTAAATAAAGGAAAAGGCTTCTCTCTCTTTTTTTATGATTCCTACAAAATCTTCTATCACTCCATTGATTGACACATCCGATGTAGAAAATCGAAACAGATTAGTTACTATATGCCATATTCATTCATTGCATAAGCATGGTTCAATAAGCCAGTGGATAACAACCCACACCACACAACAATGTTTTGTCAGAAGTGAGATTGCCTTCACTGCTTCAAATACTATAGAGAGATAACAGCGCAGTTTCTTCTTAAATGGGTCTACTATGTGAGACATCATAAGAGACGAAGTGTACTTTGAAAATGGTATTTAATTATTTTTATTTTCTTTTTCTTTAAAAAAAAAAAAAAAAAGAAAGAAAACAAAAGAGATTGCAGATCTAGGACAGTATGCGGTCATTAACATTCCATGGAATGAAATCCTTTGAATCCATGGCATTTTTTAGACTATAGTGTTCTAAATTGCAACAACTCATAAAATAACATTTAACATTTTACAGTAGTATACAGGTGGGCAACAAAGAGACGAAGAGAAAAAAGTGTTTATACAGACCTGCCACTCTTAGCCGTTGGGACAATTAATCCTCTCTTCTCTAGGCTCTTGTATCGATCTCTTGCAAGAGTGCAACAACCCTTCATGCAATAAGATATATTAATTTAATAAAAAATATATATTCAAATTCTTCAGTTCAAAATATAAATTGTAAACCATACGTAATTGTTGATTCAAGAAAAAATGAGATGGCAAAAAGGCAAACCTTCAGCTTACGAAGGGAACCAGTAATCTCTTCAGATAATAGGACTTGACGAGGAGCAGGCTCGAATCTGAAATGATCATTACAAGTCATTTCTGTTGTGCTAAATGTTTTTAAACATAGTAGTTTTTTTATTTAAAAAAATTCATCGATTTTGGTCCAAATAATATGAGATCATCAAAAGTTCCAATGTAAAGTTTGGAACTGACATTTTAAATCTGAAAGTGGTTTTTCTTTTTCTTTCTTTTATAATGTCAATATGTAGAGTTCCATTCACTAATTAAATTCCACGATGAAGCTACCCATACCCAATCCACAATAAATTATAGAAAATGAATAAATAAGTTTAAAATATTGTATCTTTATCAAATAGAACCGCCATACTTGTGCTTCCCCAAGCGTGGTGGACGAGATTTTAATCCCTCTTGTTTAGCAACAATGCGACGGAGATGTTTTCTCTGCTTCTCCTCATCCTCTCTGGCAATTTCTTGGATTATATCTGGTAAGCTGCGGCAAAGGGATTAACATCAGCGATACAAATTATGTAACTACAAGGAACATTGATTGAAGCATTTACATCAGCTTACCAGTCAATTTCTTTTGAAAGTTCTTCCACTTGTTTTGCCTCTGCTTCTGTTCTGATCTGTTCCTTGCGTCTAGCCCTCTTGTTCTGCTTGACTCGTGTAACCCTTTTAGTTGTATAGGTCCTGCAAATTATCATTTAGTGTTGAAAATCATGAGAAAAGTGTTGAGCAAAATTGCATATCATCAATTGCATCAACAGACTAATGTATTACACATCATAGTAGCATTCATTAGATAGAGAACTGAAATGGGTTTATGAAGTCATTAAACCTCACAAATATTAAATTTTCGTAATACCAGGTTCCAAAAACTATTTATCGTAATTAATATTTAGGAGAAGATCTAGCGCAAATAATATTATTGATAATAACGACAATACCAGGTACTATATTTTACAATAATAACCACAGACTGGGACCAGTTCCACTTCTGGTAATGTTATTGGTAATAATAACAACTAAAATTTCATAGTTTCAGAAAATAACCAGACTGGAATGACACCTGAAATTAGAGACTACATTGAACTGAGATGGCCGACCCCAAGTCACACAATCCGCTCAAATTATTGGATGCTCCATCGCTCCACAGGCGGACCAAAGTCTTTGAGAGCAGAAGTGCCTTGATTCATGCGCTCACTCTTTTGAATTCATGAAATGATATTTTGTAATCTGCAATTAAATACTGGTACTTTACAAGCTTCCACGTGTATGTGTAACATGTAAACTGCAAGCTGCTACATGCTACTCTGCCCACATGTACGAGAATATTCACAGCTTTGCGAACTAACACCACCAGAACTCATGACCACTTTAAAGTACCAACAACACTCTGACCAGTGTGCCATTCACACCTTTGTAGATGATGCACTAAATTTTTTATTTAACAAACATTTGATTACATTTAAGCACAGTGTTTATTTGGGCATACATTACGTATATATGCTCTTCACTGATTGCAAATAAATTGATCATATACTTAATTGAATAACCGTGTGCACCCAGGGATAGTAGGATTTTTCGGTAATTTCAGTGGGGGAAATTCTAAAATTTTAGGAGCATATATTACTAAAAATGAAAAATCAATGGGATACAATAAGAAGAGGAAAAATTCAGTGGGGGCAATTGCCCCCACTTAGGTGTGAATAGATACGTCCCTGCGTGCACCTACAACATCACAACATCAGATGCTCCCGCCCTAAGAAAAAATCAGAACTTGATCCTATACTGCTCTCGCCCAGCTCTGTGTTGCTTAGGGCTGGGCTGAACCAGACCTCCAGCAAAATATAGCCCAAGCTCAGCACAAAGAAACAATTAAAACCTAGCCCAGCCTGGCCTAGCCATCTGCAAGCCATGTAAACTAAAGAATGCAACTAAATGACCACCAAAAAACCCATTTGCTGGGTGCTTCTTTTTGACTTCTTGTTTCAGGTGTTATATTTTAAAACCTCAGAACAAAAGGAGACAGCTTTTTTATTTTAGAACCTTTAACTTTTTCTTAACATTTCACCATCAGAAGTTCTTGTGCAACATAGTGCACTCAACCCTGGTACTCCTATAATTTTGATATATATATATCCATGTAGAAGGAATGAATAAGATGACATACAGCTTGAGCCCTTCTCCACCTCGAAAACCTACATGAAGAATAGAACCATAAGAGAATAGATGGCCTTACCTGCAGGCCAACACGACTATTCCCATGTTAGACATGCAGTAGATAAGAATAAATATCCAGCCAAAGATTTGGAACTCCCCTCAAATAGAACATTCTAAAAGTATCATTAGTAGCAACGTACTTGAACCCTCAAGTGTTAGTAAAATGGTAACATAACTGAATTTTTAATAAATTACAACTGGCATTAGTTTAAAATCAACATTTTGTAACTAAATTAATAAAAATAAACTGAGAAAAACAACACACACAACTGTCCCGTCATGATGCACACATTCCACACATCAAAACAGTACCCCAATCAAGAAAACTTCTCCAGTTAGCAAGAGAGATAATGCATGTTCAAAGCTTAGATCTTTAGGATCAAAAATCAAGTAGGAGAATAAGAAAAAGCAAAGTCATTCAATTGCAGTGCTAGTAGCCAATGAAATGAAGCAGACCTCTTCTCAGATTCAGTATCTCCATTCTCTTCCAGTTTTTCCACATGTGGATCATCATTATCACTCCCACCATCCGCTTCAAGGAAATACATCTGCAAAAAAATAGTTGCTTGTTATTGTAAAATTATTATTGATGTACTCCGTATATAATTTGGGCTGAAGAAAAGCATCAATACATATATATAGGGTGCATTTCCCAGAAAAATGATAGAAGAATGAAAAAAAAAAGGGTACTCACATCTTCTTCATCAATAACTTCTCCAGGGACAGTTAATGGAACTGGCTGAGGTCCCAATTCATTTCGATAGATTTTCTGCATTTCATCTGCAACAGCACATGCCAACGAATCCTGGATTGACAGAATAGATTAAATAGTGGATTTTACATATATAGGCAAAAATCGAAATATAAATATCAAGCTAACCTGATGACTCTCGAACGACGGATTGAATGAACATCCAGGAGGCTCAACTTCTACAGCAGGAATAATTGATGGCTTGAATTTCTATCAATATCATCAACAATAAATCACAGTTGGTAAAAAGATATCAGCATAATCTGTAAACTGCATCAAACAGATTGGTTCCATGTTCGCAAAAGAGAAAAATCAGGTCCAATATGCATCAAATTTTGAAAATTTTGATGTTCATGAATGGACTATAGCTGCATACTGTGGCATCATTCTTCAGCACTGTTGCAACAGAATACATGACATAGGATAGTCAAGAAGCAATAAGATTTGAACTTAAATAACGGCCATACCTTTTTTATTTTATCATTGTCTTCACCTGCAAGAATATAAAGGAATGCTTATGTAATGCGTGATAGATTACATAAAACTAAAAATATATATATCGTGAGTGTAATGAACATGGAAGAAACCTTTGTCATCCCATATGTCAGCCATGCCAGAATCCAAGACACCATCATCCTGAGGTATTCCAAAGGGGGAAACAAATCAGAACCACTACATTGGTGATTCAATATTTTAATTGCAAATTTTTAAAAGTACGTTACCAACCTCGGAACAATCTTGAACAGCATCTTTTGCTTTCTGAACTTCTTTACGTTTTTTATGGGATTTCCTCTGCGACGAAGATGGGACTGCTTCAACAAAGGAGTTCCTTTGCAGCACACTGTCACAACGTAGTATTTTTTCTCTGTGTTTTTCAATCTTTCGCTTCACCGAAAGATCTGAATAGGCAAAAATAAATAAGTTACAGTCAACTCACCAAGAGAGAAGTCTAGAAACACAACTGAGTTGAGAGATAGAGAAAAATAGTAACAATTAACTCTATAGCCACAACACAATTAGTCTATAAGAGGAACAGAAATTAGCACATGCTTGAAAGCAGAAGGAAGGTTGCTGACGTCCACAAAGCTTATTGAAACAGATTCTTCTAATTAAAACAGTGGCAGATCATCTCTTCCAAAAGGCTACAAAGTCCTCTCATCCTAAAGGAAGAGTACCACTAAAGCTCAATTTTCAGTTTGAAATCCATTTTGCCCCAAACAAATATCAAACTTGAAGTACTCAATGACAAAATTCAGTGTTTGTAACCACAGTCTGCCACCAATATGCAAAAAAGTGCAATTTTATCAGATACCTCTCATCAAGGTACTTCAAAGATATAAACTTGCAAACCCAAACCAGCTATATCACAATTCAAAACCTTAACAATCAGTTTAATAAACGAAAATAACTCAATAATTGTTATTTCTAATAAAAAATTAAAAAATAATAATAATCGAAAATTAGAGAGAAGGTTGTATGTCTTTATTCCTTTTTACTTGTTTTTCCAACATTTTCTAAGTAAACAAATGCAAGCATGTATTATTAAACTTGCTAACCCAAACCAGCTACATCACAATTCAAAACCTTATCAATCTGGTTCATAAGCGAAAAGAATAATTCTTATGTTTAACAAGAACTGATCGAAAATTAGAGAGAGGGTTGTTGTCTTTGTTCCTTTTTACATGTTTTTCCGACATTATTTCTGAGCAACCAAACGCGAGCATGTATAATTAAATAGTTGCAGAAAGTAAGAAAGAGGAAATTACCTCTGGATTTGTCGAGGTAGAAGAGGTCGTCACTGGGAAGGTGAGTGAGTGAACCGCCGGAGAGTGCGTCTTTGGTTGACTTCTCGAAGTAGTCATCAATGTCTTCTGTGCTTATATTCGCCCTCCAAGCCTTCTTTCCCTTCCTTGAGCTCTTCGCCTTTTTTCCCATGTCTCTCTAATCCCTCTCTCTCTCTCTATATGTATATATAGATATAGATATCTTTGCTTTGTTCAACGACACCACTGTCCTCTTCTTTCTGTTTCTGGGTCGACTGTTGCTAATCGGGAAAGAGCAGTGAACCCTAAATCGGCACGTGCGTACTTAATTCGTGACCGTGAGTCGGTGAATGGATCGAATCCTGATTCCCAAAGTCCGATAGTCCGGATCCGACCGTGATGAAATTATTCAGGGTGGTAAATCAAGTTTTTTTTTTTTTCTTTTAAAATAATAATAAAATTGTAATGAATATATGTATATGTGCATGTATATGTATATATATATATATATATATATATATATATATAGTAATATTATGAGACAACTGAAAATGCAAAGTTTTTAGAAAGAGAGAGAGAGAGATAGACGGAAAGTGAATGAGTATAACAGATAGAAAAAGAGACCTTTTTCTTTTTCACTATCTCATTTCACTATACATGAAGCCTATTTATAGGCATATACTGAGGCTTCTCACGTAAGCCAACAAAAACAATCTTACTCCGTATGCCAACAGGAAAGTCTGATGCCTTTAGGAATTCGTGGATCCCACTTATTGATATACATAACACTCCCCCTTGGGGTCCACAAAATTACACTAAGAATATGCCTCGTCAAAACCTTACTAAGGAAAACCCAGTGAAATAAAACCTTAGCGAAGGGAAAAGAGTACAGTATTATTGTGTATCTAAAAATAGTATTGCATAGATTAAAAAACTGCCTCATTAAAACCTTGCCAGGAAAACCCAGTGGGACAAAACCTGGACGAAGGAAAAAGAGTAGAGTATGCCAATACCTTCTCAATCAATTGCTTCCCCTTATTAGATCAACCCTGAAGATCCTTTAGTTGACGCATTCCAATGTTGTGCACCAGCTTCTGGAATGTTGTAGTTGGAAGCATTTTAGTGAATAGATCTGCTAGATTTTCACATGAACGAATCTTTTGAATATCAATATCACCCTTTTTTCTGGAACTCATGTGCATAAAAGAATTTTGGAGAGATGTGCTTGGTCCTGTCATTTTTAATATACCCTTCTTTCATCTGTGCAATGCATGCCGCATTATCTTCATATAATACTGTTAGGCTATCTTTTATTGATGAGAAAACACATGTTGTTCGAATATGTTAAATCATTGATCTCAACCAAATGCATTCCCTGTTTGCCTCATGAATTGCGAGTATCTTAGAATGATTTAAAGAAGTTGCAATCATTGTCTGCTTCATTGATCGCCATGATGTAGCAATGCCGCCACAGGTAAACACATATCCTGTTTGTGCATAAGCTTTATGTGGGTCAAAGAGATAGGCGGCATTTGCATATCCAATTAATGGAGAATTTAGTGCCTTCGAATAAAACAAGCCCATATCAGTTGTACCACGAAGATATCGCAATATGTGTTTGATTCCATTCCAATGTCTGCGAGTTAGTGCAGAACAGTATCGTGCTAATAAATTGACTTAAAAAATTATATCAGGTCTTGTGCAATTTGTAAGATACAAAAGAGCACCAATCGTACTAAAATAGGGCACTTCAGGATCAAGGAGTTCTTCATCATCCTCTCGAGGACGAAAAGGATCTTTCTTGATGTCAAGTGATCGGACAACCATTGGAGAGCTCAATGGATAGGCTTTATCCATATGAAAACGTTTCAGAATCTTTTCTGTATATGTTGATTGATGGATTAGAATACCGCTCGAAAAATATTCAACCTGCAGCCCAAGGCAGAATTTTGTATTTCCGAGATCCTTCATTTCGAATTCTTTCTTTAAATAAGTGGTCGTCTTTTCGATCTCGTCCAATGTTCCCACAAGATTCAGATCATCAACATATACTGCAACAATAACAAAACCAGATTCTGATTTGTTAATAAAAATACATGGACAAATATGACTGTTCACATACCCTTCTTTGAGCAAGTAATCGCTAAATCCATACAATCCAGATTGTTTCAATCCATACAAGGATCGTTGTAATTTTATCGAGTACATATTATATGGTTTTGTTTCAGGCATTTTAAATCCTCCTGGAATTTTCATATAAATATCACTATCTAGTGATCCATATAAATATGTTGTAACCACGTTCATTAGATGCATATGCAATCTTTCTGTGACTGCTAAATGTATTATGAATCTAAAAGTAGGTGCATCAATCACAGGAGAGTATATTTCCTCATAATCAATACCAGGTCTCTGTGAGAAACCTTGAGCTATTAGTCGAGCTTTGTATCTCACAATTTCATTTTTCTCATTACGTTTTCGCACAAACACCCATTTGTACCCAACATGATTAACACCCTCAGATGTCTGGACTACTGGTCCAAATATTTCACGTTTAGCTAACGAATTTAGCTCTGCTCGTATTGCTTCTTTCCATTTTGGCCAATCATTTCTTCGTCGATGTTCTTCAACGTTTTGAGGTTCTGGATCCTTATTATCAATATCAAGAGCAACAAGATATGAGAATATGTTGTCGACAACAATTTCATTTCCATTCCATGTCGTTTCATAATTTAGTGAAATCTCATCATTTTCAAGTACCTTTACCTTATCAAGGGCATGCGACTCATCAAGGGCCATATCATCATCTGTTGCCTTTGCTTCATCAATATTTATTATTTCATCATGTTTAGGTACCTGAGACTCATCAAGAGCCTCTGCCTTATCAAAGGTTATTGTTTCAGATTGATCAATAATATCTGTTGCTCCTTTTATGGCCTCTTCAGGAGTGCCCGCTTTTCTTTGTGATTTCTTCTTACGAGGAGTGATATCTTTTGCGTCAACTGGTCTGCCACGCTTCAGGCACGTTTTAGATGCATTTGCTGCATTACTGACAGAAGGTCCCTCAGGGACAGTAATTCGTGCTGGCACATTTGCAGCTGGTATATGTGATTTTATCAATTTCTTTGTATCAGTAAATGTATCAGGTAATTGATTTGCAACACTTTGCAAGTGAATGATCCTCCGAACTTCTCGTTCACATTGGTTTGTTCGAGGATTAAAATGAGACAATTCCAGGGCATTCCAAGTAAGATCACGTTGCTGCTGTGCCTTTTCTCCCCCTAATGGTGGAAAAACAGTCTCATCAAAATGACAGTCAGCAAATCGTGCTTTAAAGACATCACTTGTCAGAGGTTTAAGATATCTAATAATAGAAGGAAAATCAAAACCAACATAAATTCCAAGTTTACGTTGAGGACCCATTTTAGTGCGTTGGGGTGGTGCAATTGGAACATATACAGCACAACCTAAAACTCGTATGTGGGAGATATTTGGTTGTTGACCAAAAACAAGTTCCAATGATGAGTACTTATGATAAGCAGTTGGTCGTATACAAACTAATGATGCATGCAATATGGCATGACCCCAGGCAGAAACAGGTAATTTTGTTTGCATAAGCAAATGATGACCAATTAACTGAAGTCTTTTAATAAAAGACTCAGCCATACCATTTTAAGTATGAGTGTGTGCAACAGGGTGTTCAACATTAATTCCAACTGACATGCAATAATCATCAAAAGCTTGAAAAGAAAATTCAGCGGCATTATCAAGACGGATTGTCTTAATTGGGTAATCAGGAAAGTGTGCCCGTAATTTGATGATTTGAGTAAGGAGTCTAGCAAATGCAACATTACGAGTAGAAAGCAGACAAACATGTGACCATCTTGTTGAGACATCAATTAAGACTATAAAATAGCGAAATAGTCCACAGGGTGAATGAATTGGCCCACATATATCCTCGTGAATTCATTGTAAAAATGGGGGAGACTCAACAATGACTTTTGAAGGGGATGGTCTGATAATCAACTTACCTTGTGAGCAGGCGGTGTATAGATGATTATTTGGTAAGATGATTTTTTGATCTTTTAGTGGGTGTCTATGTGAATTTTCAATAATTCGACACATCATTGTACTCCCTAGGTGACCAAGTCGATCATGCCAAAGCATAAAAAGTTTTGGGTCACAAGAATTTTTATGGATCACAGCATTTAACTCAATTGTTCTAATGCTTGTATAGTATAACCCAAAAGAGAAAAAAGGGAGTTTTTAAAATATCAGCTTCTTGCCTAAGGTAATGGAAGTAATGTAGAGATATTCCACATTTCTTTCATTTGTGGTCTCAATATGATACCCATTACGATGCAAGTCTTTAAAACTCAACAGATTTATCCGAGATCTTGTAGAATATAAGGCATCATTGATTTGTAATCTTGTTCCAAGTGGTAAAATGATGTTGGCTCGTCTAGAGTCTTCAATCAAGTGGGTGGGACCTGATATGGTACTAACACTGGCGTCTGACAGAATTAAGTGGGAAAAATATTTTTGATCTCGAAGGATTGTATGTGTTGTTCCACTATCTGCAAGACATATGTCTTCTCCATTTATATTGGAACTAGTCAGATCCATTCCTATTCATGCAAATTTTTTTATCAGAAAAGAAACTTTTATAACAAAATAAACTTTAATACAAACTAGAGGATAAAAACTTTAATACAAGGAAAATAAAAACATAGTAGACAGAATATGAAAAGAAAATAAGATTAATTGGTGTAAACATTTCCATCACCAATCAGGAAGTTTATCCTTTCATCACGGTCCTCAAAAAAAAATCTGATACATCCAGATTTGTGATGTTAACTGGCTCATCATGATTAATGAAATTCATTTCCAGATTTGTGGTGTCAACTGACTCATCATAATCAAGGAAATTAATTTCCTTTTGTTTTCCCTTTTCTTTCATTGAGGCTTGGTAAAGTTCAGCCAGATGCTTAGGTGTACGACAAATACTTTGCCAATGCCCTATTATGCCACACCGATAACAAGTATTATCGTGTGCCTTGGAAGGTTGAGCCACATCCTTCCCTTTTTCCTGTTTCATTTCATGATGATTTCTCCTTTGAGGATATGGTGTGGATCTCTGATTGCGAAAATGTGAGGATTGATATCCTTCACGATAATAAGAATGATTTCTACCACGACCATATTCATTATTGTGGTAGTTATTTTTACCACGACCATATTCATTTCTACCACCACGACCACGTTCGCGTCCACGTCCACGACTACGGGATGA